AATATTCTATCTCTAATGCTAAGTATATTTAATTCTTTCCGCATGTTGAGAACTTTGGTAGTTATAGGACAGCCAAGTATAATTCTGAGTGCTTCATTTTGCATTTTTTCCAGTCTATCAATACTTTTGCCATTCTGCAGGACCAAAGCTGGTGCATGATAGTCTATCAGAGACCTTATATACGCTAAATACATCATTCTTGCTATTCTAATATTAACACCATATTTCGGGCTGTACCCCACTACAGTTCTGAGAGCCTTGAGTCTGTCTCTACATTGTTGATGTAACTTATTGACTGCAGTTGAGGTACAAGGGACAGAGACACCAAGGTATTTGAAAGAAGAGACATAGTCTATTGGTATGTTGTCTATCTTAAGTTTTCGTGGTCCACTTTTGCGGTTGCCAATTTGTCTGTTAAATACCTTAGTTTTAGCAGCGTTGATTACAAGACCAAGGCTCTCACAAGCTGTATGTATACAATTTAAGACTGTTTGCATTTTGCGGTGGGTTTTAGTATGCACAAGGATGTCATCTGCATAGCTGATAGTGATGTTTGCCGGACTAGTTGGGATTGATTTTAGTAAAGCATTAATTAGAACATTAAACAAGGTAGGACTAAGTACTCTTCCATGTGGGGTGCCTAGTTGCATTACTTTAGTTTCACTCTTGTAGCCTTGGAACAGCGCAGAGGACTTCCGGTTGGTAAGATAGCCTCGTATCCACTGTAATAAATGTCCCCCTATATCCATTCTCGCTAATTCATACATAATCACTTCCCTATTAGCAATATCAAAGGCATTTTTTAAATCAAGAAATGTTGTGTACTTGTGCCTTTTATCTCCATGAACAGTAAGAAAGGTTGTGATACAGTTGTGTACACTTTTACCATGTGTGAAACCATTGATATCAGGTGACATGTGCTCTTTAACTCTATACAATAATCTATTAAGCACCATTCTCTCAAAGGTTTTGCACATGCAACTGGTCAGTGAGATGGGACGGAAAGCATCAGGTTGGCCAGGCTTTGGTACAGGTACCGTAAGACTGGTGGTCCATGATACAGGCAACTGCCCAGAGACATAGCTGGCATTAAACAATTCTAATAATGGGTTACCGGGTACACGATGTAGGAGTCTTAGAATATCATAGGTGATACCGTCCTCACCAGGAGCAGTGCTACTGCCCCTGGAGAGGGCTGCATCCAATTCATAATCTGTATATGGAACATCACATTCATCATGTTGCTTGCTCAACATGCGCTGGGCTTATATGTGATTTGTTTTTCATTAGTTGTAAATTTACTTTATCGTGCTTCATCTATTCAAATATATATATACAGTAAACATGTAATACATATCATGGATATAAAACAAAAAATGAGCGAAGGAATAATTTCACAATTTAAATAAACATAAATTACATAAAAGCCTAACATAGGATTTAAGCCTATTACCAGAATTAATATTTGTTAGCGTCTGTACACAAATAGCATAAATGAATACCAGGTTAATTACACAATGATAGGCTATGAAACATCAATTATAATTTTATGCATGCAATAGTGTTTTTCAAACTCTTCCTAGCCTAGGGTTTTACATATATTTAATTAATTGTACTACATTGAGTTATGGAATGAATATTGATTTGCATAGTTGCGTACATAGAATAAGGAGTAACATTGTTGTGTGGTTGACAGCAGTCATTGTTGTGTGGTTGACAGCAGTCATTGTTGTGTGGTTAACAGCAGTCATTGTTGTGTGGTTGACAGCAGCCATTGTTGTGTGGTTGACAGCAGTCATTGTTGTGTGGTTGACAGCAGTCATTGTTGTGTGGTTAACAGCAGTCATTGTTGTGTGGTTGACAGCAGTCATTGTTGTGTGGTTAACAGCAGTCATTGTTGTGTGGTTGACAGCAGTCATTGTTGTGTGGTTGACAGCAGCCATTGTTGTGTGGTTGACAGCAGTCATTGTTGTGTGGTTAACAGCAGTCATTGTTGTGTGGTTGACAGCAGTTATTGTTGTGTGGTTGACAGCAGCCATTGTTGTGTGGTTGACAGCAGTCATTGTTGTGTGGTTGACAGCAGCCATTGTTGTGTGGTTGACAGCAGTCATTGTTGTGTGGTTGACAGCAGCCATTGTTGTGTGGTTGACAGCAGTCATTGTTGTGTGGTTGACAGCAGTCATTGTTGTGTGGTTGACAGCAGTCATTGTTGTGTGGTTAACAGCAGTCATTGTTGTGTGGTTGACAGCAGCCATTGTTGTGTGGTTGACAGCAGTCATTGTTGTGTGGTTGACAGCAGTCATTGTTGTGTGGTTGACAGCAGCCATTGTTGTGTGGTTGACAGCAGTCATTGTTGTGTGGTTGACAGCAGTCATTGTTGTGTGGTTAACAGCAGTCATTGTTGTGTGGTTGACAGCAGTTATTGTTGTGTGGTTGACAGCAGCCATTGTTGTGTGGTTGACAGCAGCCATTGTTGTGTGATTGACAGCAGTCATTGTTGTGTGGTTGACAGCAGCCATTGTTGTGTGGTTGACAGCAGTCATTGTTGTGTGGTTGACAGCAGTCATTGTTGTGGTTGACAGCAATCATTGTTGTGTGGTTGACAGCAGTCATTGTTGTGTGGTTGACAGCAGCCATTGTTGTGTGGTTGACAGCAGTCATTGTTGTGTGGTTGACAGCAGCCATTGTTGTGTGGTTGATGCCATCCATTGTTGTGTGGTTGACAGCAGTCATTGTTGTGTGGTTGATGCCACCCATTGTTGTGTGGTTGACAGCAGCCATTGTTGTGTGGTTGACAGCAGTCATTGTTGTGTGGTTGACAACAGTCATTGTTGTGTGGTTGACAGCAGCCATTGTTGTGTGGTTGACAGCAGTCATTGTTGTGTGGTTGACAGCAGCCATTGTTGTGTGGTTGATGCCAGCCATTGTTGTGTGGTTGACAGCAGTCATTGTTGTGTGGTTGACAGCAGTCATTGTTGTGTGGTTGACAGCAGTCATTGTTGTGTGGTTGACAGCAGCCATTGTTGTGTGGTTGATGCCAGCCATTGTTGTGTGGTTGACAGCAGTCATTGTTGTGTGGTTGATGCCACCCATTGTTGTGTGGTTGACAGCAGCCATTGTTGTGTGGTTGACAGCAGCCATTGTTGTGTGGTTGAAAGCAGCCATTGTTGTGTGGTTGACAGCAGTCATTGTTGTGTGGTTGACAGCAGTCATTGTTGTGTGGTTGACAGCAGCCATTGTTGTGTGGTTGATGCCAGCCATTGTTGTGTGGTTGACAGCAGTCATTGTTGTGTGGTTGATGCCACCCATTGTTGTGTGGTTGACAGCAGCCATTGTTGTGTGGTTGATAGCAGCCATTGTTGTGTGGTTGAAAGCAGCCATTGTTGTGTGGTTGACAGCAGTCATTGTTGTGTGGTTGACAGCAGTCATTGTTGTGTGGTTGACAGCAGTCATTGTTGTGTGGTTGACAGCAGCCATTGTTGTGTGGTTGATGCCAGCCATTGTTGTGTGGTTGACAGCAGTCATTGTTGTGTGGTTGACAGCAGCCATTGTTGTGTGGTTGACAGCAGTCATTGTTGTGTGGTTGACAGCAGCCATTGTTGTGTGGTTGACAGCAGCCATTGTTGTGTGGTTGACAGCAGTCATTGTTGTGTGGTTGACAGCAGTCATTGTTGTGTGGTTGACAGCAGCCATTGTTGTGTGGTTGACAGCAGTCATTGTTGTGTGGTTGACAGCAGCCATTGTTGTGTGGTTGACAGCAGCCATTGTTGTGTGGTTGACAGCAGTCATTGTTGTGTGGTTGACAGCAGCCATTGTTGTGTGGTTGACAGCAGCCATTGTTGTGTGGTTGACAGCAGTCATTGTTGTGTGGTTGATGCACCCATTGTTGTGTGGTTGACAGCAGCCATTGTTGTGTGGTTGACAGCAGCCATTGTTGTGTGGTTGACAGCAGCCATTGTTGTGTGGTTGACAGCAGCCATTGTTGTGTGGTTGACAGCAGCCATTGTTGTGTGGTTGACAGCAGTCATTGTTGTGTGGTTGACAGCAGTCATTGTTGTGTGGTTGACAGCAGTCATTGTTGTGTGATTGATAGCAGCCATTGTTGTGTGGTTGACAGCAGCTATTGTTTGGTTGATAGCAGTAATGGTTGTTTGGTTGATAGCAGTGATGGTTGCTTGGTTGGTAGCAGTGATGGTTGTTTGGTTGGTAGCAGTGATGGTTGTCTGGTTACTGGTAACATGGTTGTTTGGTTACTAGCAACAATGGTTGTGTGGTTAGTAGCTATCATGGTTGTGTGGTTGGTAGCTATCATGGTTGTGTGGTTAGTAGCTATCATGGTTGTGTGGTTGGTAGCTATCATAGTCGTGTGGTTGGTAGCTATCATGGTTGTGTGGCTGGTAGCTATCATGGTTGTGTGGTTGGTAGCTATCATGGTTGTGTGGCTGGTAGTTATCATGGTTGTGTGGCTGGTAGCTATCATGGTTGTGTGGTTGGTAGCTATCATGGTTGTGTGGTTGGTAGCTATCATGGTTGTGTGGCTGATAGCCTATTGAGGGGATTCCATTAAAACGCAGAATTGTGTGAAGATTAAAATAACACGATCACTAGAGTGATACTATAACAGAAACTTGTATACAGAAATAACTTTGTGAAACTTAAATAATGTATATCATGATTCCACTGAAACTTTCATAATTAAAACAAAGAAAAAACTTGCCCTGACTCCTGCCATTGTTCTAAAGGAAGAATTGCGCGCGAACCACAGCCAATCAGAATCAATTTTGCCCCAACTAATTAGAAATAGACTCTGCTCATTGTCGCAGCTAATCAAAATAAGTGTCTTATGCCAACCGTTATTAAACCAATCAGAGACATTAATGCAAAGGCCGAGGAGCCGCCAGCCAACCAATCAGGGAAGAGGACGCCGACGCCGAGGGGCCTCCCCGAGCGGAAAGCGCGCGCCTGAGGCACAGTCGTCGACAACCACGCGTCAGGGCAACATGGCGGCTGAACAGGTGAGCTAATTTTTCATTATTTTCCCCATATTTTGTTATTTTAGTGACTTTACACATTATAAATAAGAAAGACATTGTTCAAGCATGTTAACCCAACGTAATATATTGGAAAATAATTACTACCTAACCAGGAAATGTGAAAATTAAGTGATATTCAATTTAATTTACAATAAGCTTATGACGTAGTTTCATATTTCTCTTGCAGGAAATTTGCTGTAGCACCACAGGAAGAGAACCAACTTCTGGGGCAAGCAGTACAGCAGAATCTACACTTGAGGTAAGTAGTAGCATTGGTAATGGAATTGTGGGTACTGATAGTATGGGAACTGTACGTAAGGTATGAAGGGAATCTGATGCTGCTGGAGTAGTAAAACGTCTGCTGAGATATTTGTTTGAGAATATTAAAATGTGAATAAATGCAAGAATACTAAAAGCTCCAGGTGTGCGGGCACGTGGGGACCTCCAGGTGTGCGGGCACGTGGGGACCTCCAGGTGTGCGGGCACGTGGACCTTCAGGTGTGCGGGCAGGCGGGAAACTCCAGGTGTGCGGGTAGGCGGGAAACTCCAGGTGTGCGGGTACGTGGGGACCTCCAGGTGTGCGGGCAGGCGGGAAACTCCAGGTGTGCGGGCAGGCGAGAAACTCCAGGTGTGGGCACGGGTAGGCGGGAAACTCCAGGTGTGCGGGCACGTGAGAAGCTCCAGGTGTGCGGGCTAGCGGGAAGCTCCAGGTGTGTGGGCAGGCGGGTAACTCCAGGTGTGCGGGCTAGCGGGAAGCTCCAGGTGTGCGGGAGGGCGGGAAACTCTTAGGTGCAGGCACGTGGGAAGTCCATGTGCGGGCTTGCGGGAACTCCAGGTGTGCGGGCTGGCGGGAACTCCAGGTGTGCGGGCTGGCGGGAACTCCAGGTGTGCGGGCTGGCGGGAAACTCCAGGTGTGCGGGCAGGCGGGAAACTCCAGGTGTGCGGGCAGGCGGGAAACTCCAGGTGTGCGGGCAGGCGGGAAACTCCAGGTGTGCGGGCAGGCGGGAAACTCCAGGTGTGCGGGCTAGCGGGAAGCTCCAGGTGTGCGGGCACGTGGGAACCTCCAGGTGTGCGGGCACGTGGGAACCTCGAAGGTGTGCGGGCAGGCGGGAAACTCCAGGTGTGCGGGCACGTGGGAAGCTCCAGGTGTGCGGGAGGGCGGGAAACTCCAGGTGTGCGGGCAGGTGGGAAACTCCAGGTGTGCGGGCACGTGGGAAACTCCAGGTGTGCGGGCACGTGGGGACCTCCAGGTGTGCGGGCACGTGGGAAGCTCCAGTTGTGCGGGCAGGCGGGAAACTCCAGGTGTGCGGGCAGGCGGGAAACTCCAGGTGTGCGGGCAGGCGGGAAACTCCAGGTGTGCGGGCACGTGAGAAGCTCCAGCACGTGAGAAGCTCCAGGTGTGCGGGCTAGCGGGAAGCTCCAGGTGTGTGGGCAGGCGGGTAACTCCAGGTGTGCAGGCTAGCGGGAAGCTCCAGGTGTGCGGGCTAGCGGGAAGCTCCAGGTGTGCGGGAGGGCGGGAAACTCTTAGGTGCAGGCACGTGGGAAGTCCATGTGCGGGCTGGCGGGAACTCCAGGTGTGCGGGCTAGCGGGAAGCTCCAGGTGTGCGGTATGGCGGGAAATCTAGTTGTGCGGGCACGTGGGAAGCTCCAGGTGTGCAGGCTGGCGGGAAACTCCAGGTGCAGGCACGTGGAAAGTATGTGCGGGTTCGCGGGAATTCCGGGAATTCCGGGTGTGCGGTATGGCGGGAAACTCCAGGTGTGCGGTATGGCGGGAAACTCTAGGTGGTCACGTGGGAAGTTCATGTGCGGTATGGCGGGAACTTTCAGATATGTGGGGAGGCGGGAAGCGCCAGGCGTGTGGGCACGCGGGAATCGCCAGGTGTGCGGGCACGCGGGAAGCTTCAGGTGTGTGGGGAGGCGGGAGGCGTCATGCAGGTTGTTAGCGTGGGAAATTTGTAAAATATTGATATCCTGATAGAAATCCAGCCCTTACCAAAGTGAAAATTTTTCCTGTTTAAATTTAAAGCAGCATAAATGTGAAATATTTTGGCGGGAAGATTAGGGCGTGTTATGGCGGGAAAATGAAAAGTGACGCCAACTGAATTTTATTATTAAATAGTAAATTAATACTAAATAAATAATTACATTTCGTTTAGAAAAACTTGGTAGCGGCGAAATGTTTTGCGAAGTTTTATATAATAAATAGGGTTAAAAATGTGAGCAGTGGAGTTAACCCATCTAAAAAAAAAAATTTATGAAAAAAATGCCATGTCTGTGTACTTGGATTGGTCGGTCCCCCCCCCTCCACTGGAGACCCCCCTCCACTGCAGACCCCCCTCCACTGCAGACCCCCCCCCGTCCACTGCAGACCCCCCCTCCACTGCAGACCCCCCCCCTCCACTGCAGACCCCCCCCTCCACTGCAGACCTCCCCCCCCCTCCACTGCAGACCTCCCCCCCCCTCCACT